ATAAATACAAACTTTTGTTAAACAAGGCATGACGAATCCAAATGTCGTTCCTTATATGTCCTATATATTTATTATACTTATATGTCTCACAAACCTGCCTAAACTTCAGGTAATACAAAATAAATTCGACCGCATCACTATGCTCGTCGACGTCACTGCAAACGCTACGCGAACCTTTTCAAGACAACCAAACGTATCATCGGATGAGCAGAAAACTTTTTTTTATTGCAAGAAAGGGGCGAGAGCCTCCGCCCATGGACATCTGCAACCCGTAAGGTTGCTGATGCGTAGTCACCTTTTAACAAAGTGGACCCCGGCTACCTCACTCAACACACGAAACGCAGAAGTGTAACACATTCACTTTACGCTGGTCGTCTGTGAGGTCGTGGTACTTACCCGCACGGACCTGCTATCCGAATGATAAAGATTGAAGACAAAACAGTTTGCAATTTTGCAATCGTTTTTGGCATATTTAATAACTTCACTCGTATAACAAAACTGTTGATTTATTAGTTTAGACTATTAATTGAATCAATTAATAAAACTGTTATGTTTACTCGCATTTATTTTATTGTATAAATACACATTCTGTGTGTTATTGCATTGTTCCGTTTCTTATTATCCTTATAATATTGTTCATTATAAATAGTTTTCTGGAAAAAATCATAATATAACAATATTCCTCTTAACATAGAATTTCCAAAATTATATAGCAAGCAACAAACATTGGATAAATTTTAAATTTTAATTAGCCATTTACATTAAAGGGAAGAATATAAATTAGAAAAATAAACATTAAATAAATTTCGAACAACAACTTTGCAAGTGATGCCGTATCGTATATTTCAAACTATCTCAGTTAATAAATCGTAATTAGGACAGAACGCCGGCAAGGTGCGGAAATAGGACACCTTACGTTTATTTAACGCTACACTAAGAGATTAAAATTCAACTCACAGAATACTTCGAATGTAAGCAAAAACCACGTTATAACTATTATAATGAAGACAATCACAATTGTGGTGAGTATCTGTGCAGTATCACTTATTGTTTCTAGAAGGATTCTCTTGTAACATCTCCTGGAACTGGTATGGAATAGTTTTAAATATAATCTCAGGTGTAATTTCTGGGTGTAAATAAGCCATAAGAATTCACACAATTCCATCACTACGTATGAAATTGTGATTCGCTTATTAGTTCGTGGTATAAATAAAAATTGAGAAAAATTTGACGTCATACCGCATAACTATTTGTATCGATTATTTTACCATAAATTGTCGTTTCCATCTTCGCACAAAAGAATATGAATTTCTTAAATCTTTTACATCAAAATGTATGACGTTATTCTCACCCATCGAAATTTCTTTTGTATAATAGAACACAAAACCGTGCTATAGAGTATAAAACTGTATATAACCTTTTTTTTATCGTTTCATGTAATTATAATTTTTATTGCTTGAAATAACTTACGAGATGACATTTTTTCTTAGACTGGATCAAAAGAACAATGTTTTACCAACGAAAACACCTCCATGATTCAGCACAAGACGTTGTACAGTGAAGTAATATTCCTGTGAGTGTATTTATAACGTATAGATAACGTAATATGCGAATAAAAAATGTAATGGGAGATGCATTCAAAAATCCGTATCCAAAGAACTGATGTTCAGATATTTCGCATGCATTTAGCAAGAATATTTGCCTCGAACCTTCTCTTAATTACAACTAACGTATTCGAGTGAAATTTATTTATCATTATAACAAACCATTTAAATAAACATCCACCGTCCGCCAAATCCCGAGTGCTGGTACCCGCTTGTTTGAATTTTAAACTCCCCTTAGGCCGCCACGCGTCAAACAATACCCTTGGCTAATACAAATTTGGATATTAACATAATGATAACAGCACTTCAAAGCGTATACTTAAATATTAAACGTAGCCTTACGAAGTACATATGTAACTCTCCAGAGAGAATAGCTCAAACGAAACGATTTATTCAAGATGTTTGATATAAAAATTTTAAAAACTTACAAGGTTTGACGACTTCAAACGTAAATAATACGAACATGAGTGGCTAATATAAAAAGTTAATATATAAAGAAATATAGAAATTCCCCAATCCTAAACTAATTAAAACCTAAAAACTGCGTTTACATACAGATCAAAGAAGTCCCAATTCACATACAGATCAAAGAAGTGTGAAGCAACCATAAGTAAGTACAAAAAACCAATGTGTGTACTTATGCTTATTATACTTCTCTAACGTAATAAAAGAAAAATAACTAAAAATTTTATGCCGTGTGCCAATACTTTGTTTGTGAAAAAAGACATTAATCAAATAAATGGGAATTTTAGGTAAATTAGAAAAAGCTGTCATGCTTGCCATGGTGACATAATGGATTTGGTGTCGCTTTTAGGTGTCGCGCATCATAAAAATTCACTCTTATCATTTTTCCAAAACGCGCCATAAGAAATTTAACTTCAAAAGTTTTGAAACCGCTTCTTTGTGTTCTTTTGTCAATACGCATAAAACTTCACGTATGTTAACAGCTGTTAAACAAAGATTAGTTGGAAAGAGAAAACTAAACTTCTGATAAATTTCACTCTGAAGAAGAAAACGCTAATGGACCGGGATTACTCTTAATGGCTTCCCTGCAAAGCTATTAGTATCACTGGGTATTATAGAGCTACGTGCACGACATTTATAACACCCGACAGAAAAAATTCCACCACTTCATCCAGTTGCAAGAGGTCAACTGTAGGTTACATACGACGAGCTACGTAATATAACATGTATTTCTAATGATACGTCCCTTTGTTGCGTGTTATAACATAATATGACATAACGTATGTCCTGATCCCACCTGTTCAATAACCCAGCCCATAATTCAGAGCCATTTGAACCTTACCTTTCAGAGGCCCTTTGATAATTAAAGAGTGAATGAGAAAATAATGTAAAATTATTATAACAGTAATTATAACTAATTATATAATATATAATAATATATATAGTAATTATAACTTTAAATCCTACTATAATAGTAATTATAACTTTAAATCCGCGCACATGTATTAAAATATATTATAATAGAGAGGTTGATTTTATAATATATAGCATAATTTGATGAAAATAAATGGTATTGTACGGTATTTTGTCGCTCTCTTAAAGCTCAGAAAAGCAAACGTTCCGTATTCCTCCGCAACAATATTCAATTCCGCTACCAATTTACGGTAATAAGCGCATTGTTTCAACTAACTAGCTTTATTTATCTGGAAGCAGCTTGTGAATTTAATCCATTTCTGGTCTTAAATCTGCATTGGAAAGCTATAGATAGTATTATCGACAAGATTATTCCTCGTCGAATACGTATTATGAACCAATGAATGCAATAACACGGTGGTAGGGCCACATAGCAGCCTCGGCTGTTGCACGAATGGGCAGGCTCGTCCGGGTAAGTACCACGACCTCACAGAAGACCGGTGTAAAGTGAAAGTATAATACTTTCGCGTTTCGTCTCGTGAGTGAGGTGGCCGGAGCCCAATTTTCAAAAGGTTGTCAACGCATCTGCAATCCTCGGGTGTAGATGCCCATGGGCGTCGGCATCCACTTAACATCAGGTGAACCATCTGCTTGTTGCCAATTTGTCACATAAAAAAAAATTACATTATCTCATTTATTACACATTTTAAAAGATTAAACCTCTTTTGCGAATAGATACTGAATAATCTTTCTTTGAGTTTTTGATTCTGACATTAATAATATTTGAAGTGGAGCTTAACAATACTGATTTCTTTTATATTCTATTCTTTTATTTTTGTGTTATATTATTTTATAGCGTTTTCATTGTTAATTCAAAATCTCCATCATGGGTTGTGGTTGTTCACAGGCTGGACATTCAATTGCCAACTTTGTCTTCATGTTTGAGAGGTAAGTGAATCAACAAATTAACTGATTTTACTCCATCTCAGGGGATAACACGCGATAAGCAGTTGCAGTTGTCCTTGTTGACTAGTTTTCTAGTTATCCCTATCTATTTCTAAGAAATAAACTGAGATAGCAGTAAATATTGTTAGACATTCAATTGCAAACTTAGTCTTCATATTTGTGAGGTGAGTGAATAAACAAATTAACTCATATCTCTCCATCTCAAGGTACATACAACACGCGATAAGCTTGTATCTTTTTTTTAATGTGAAAAAGTGGCAAACGAGCAGGCGGTTCACCTGATACTAAGTAATATCCGCCGCCCATGGACATTTGCAACATCCGTAGGGTTGCGTTGCCACCTTTAAACAAAGTGGGCCCAGTCTACGTCACTCACCAGACGAAACGCAGAAGTTAACACCTGTACCTCTGTATCTATTTCGAAGAAATAAAAGGAGGTAGCGGTATATATGTAGATTAACAAACTTTGCGTTATTTTCTAACTGCTGTACATTTTATTCGATGCACAAACATTTGTCCGTAAGCTCTGTTTTCTCATTTTTATATAATTAAAATTAAAGCTTTAAAACCAGTGAGTAATTTTTTACATTAGAGTCACGAGAGTTTTTCGTATACTTATATTTTAATCGATAGAGAAACATTACCGAAAAATTAAATACGAAATAAAATTATGCGCGAAGACATTAAGATTTTGGGAAAAAATATATAATTTAACCTTACAACGCTGATCTGACTTCGAACAAGATTGCCCTGGCTCCGGTAATCAAATCAGTTGCAGTCACAGCTAGACAACTATCATTTTAGCTGAGGCATAAGTGTAAAACTTTCATTTTCACGCCGGTCTTCTGTGAGGTCGTGGTACCGCCCGCCCATTCGTGCAACACCGAAGATTGTTGTGTGGCGCTACCACCGCTTGCCTACAGGATGAAATTCAATTTGTTTATTATAAGTTTTTATTTCTGCTTATCACGCTATTTACCTTATTTAAATACGAATACTGCTGTAATTTTCCAAGGCGGTGACAATTGGCTACGTCGAATGGTACCGTCGGAAATGTTCACAATCCTTGGTGGTTACAGATTTGGCACGGCCATAGCTCTCACGATAATCGTCAGTTGTATTATGCTGACGACGGTAGGAATGCTGGCGCTTGGCATTGGCCTCGGCTACAATTATTGCTTCGTGGACTTCAAAGTGAAGAGGCTTTTCGGTACAATCTGATTTTTAGACCAATTTAACTTGAGTGTCAACTAGAATTATGTTGCAAACCAATTGAAAATTCTGGAACTCAAATCATCAATTTAGGCGCGATAAAATCCGTAGAATATTTTTATTTTTTGTTTACAATATTAACGAGTAATACTGGTGTTATCAAGAGGAATCATTGAAGAAATAGATTGATATTTTAATATTTTACACGGGTACTTTCGGGCACTTTGGTTTTCTGCAACGATTCTTAACGAATTACTAACGCTTGCAATAAGAACTAATTTGTGTCACTGGGAGTTTTACAGACATGAAACTTTATCTTCATTACTTTACATTTACATTCAGAGCTACCATTTATGGATAGCACAATTTTTGTACCGTATGGTGATCGAACCCACAACACAGCGCGATATACCAAGCTAGGTGAACATCTATATTTTCAGGTTCCAGAGCCTGAAATAATGTTTACGAGTATATATACTTTTTGTTATCGGCACTGAAAGCTTCTAGAAATACCTTAATCTTCGGAAGAAAGACAGGGCTAGGTGCGTCTTGTACGCACTAAGCCCCCTTCGGTCGTCACCCATAGCTTATTTGAAGGGGCTCTGGAATCTCGAGTGGAATGCAACGATGCTCCTCAGCACTGCGCCTAAACTCATCCAGAAAGAGAGAGGTGGCATCTTCACCATCTCCTGCGTTTTGTATACAAGATTACTTCATGTTCTTCTCCCACCTTCCTTGCTTTATTTCACTTGGTACTCAAGTTCCCCATTCCGAGTCAAAAAAAACAAAGTATGCGATGTTAGATAGGCCGTAGATACCTTATTCTGTATGGCGCTTACGAGTACATATTCTATGAATAATATGTACAAACTGAATTAACATAACTTTTATACACTTTTAACGCCTAATAAACTCGCCGTTGAACGTGTAAATTCATATATTAGTTTTATTTATTTACAGATGATAACAAAAATCCGAGGAGGTTCCTAGTGCGAAAAAAGAAAGACGCCGGAAACGAGACAGATGCTGTGGAAGAATTTGAAGATGGAGAATTCAACATTAGGCCTACAATGATAGTTCCTTTAAAAAGCAATATAAGCTTCTCGCTACTGATATCGCGAATAAGAGATTTAAACAAAAACGTCACTTTAGAATTGATCGCATCATGAATCGATTTAATCATTGCCGTCTGGCGCGTTTTATTTATTCGATTCGATTTTTGTGATGTTTGTAATGAATGTTGTAAATGAATGTCAATTTTAATTAAAAATATACGGTAACTTTAGAATTCTTTTATTTTTAAAATTTTCATTCATCCATTTTGATAAATAAATCAAAGAATCTAATAATACATACGTGTGCATAACGTTTTCGTAAAATAATCAAATACTAAGCGTCAAAAACTAAGGGGTTTAAGAATGTCAGTAAATTTTTTGGTAAAAAATATTCGATATACATTTAAGAGGTACAAAATTGCAAACCGACTACTTCATTAGCTCTAAACCCCCAAGAATTAAACGCGTAATTCTAAACCCTCTAGGTTTTTTGCTTTGTCGATATTAAGTCTGCCACTTGATGAATTTAAACGAAAAATTAAAAGTAAACTTATGGCTAAAGCCTATTATACTATTGCCGAATATCTTGACGACGCCAATGTGTGGGGTTAATACTGTTGATACTCACGTAGGCTTGTTTTAGCCTATTTACTATTGTACTTGTACTATTATATTGTAAACTGATTTTTTAAAAAAAGAGCAACTGTTAAGTTTCTTGCCGGTTTCTTCTCAACAGAAACTGCTTTCCGAACCGGTGGTAACTTACGAACGTGTTAATTTCTTGTAAAATTTTGACGTTTCATAAGAACGCGCAAGCGTCTATGTGAATAAAGATATTTCATTATTATTATTATTATTTATTATTTTACAATTTGTTTTATAATTTCCGAAATCTATGGATTGTTAATAAATGTAATAAACTCTACCGTAAGTAATTTTATTAAAATTCACCGAAATTTATGGGAAATGCAAAGTAAATGCATCAAAAAAATATTAACGTTACACTAAATCATTTTATAAGTTATTTTTCGCCATATTTAATCGCTACATACTCGATGCGATACAATTGAAAACCTAATTATCATACCAACGAATTATTCAAACTATTACAAGAAATGGAACAAAGTAACAGTCTCGTATGTCTCGTTAGTTATGAAAGCCCAGTAAAATTATAACAGTGCAGATATATAGCTTGAAGCTTCTTCAATCGGAAGTCAAATAACGCCCGGTTTCTGAAACATTGATCATTGTAGAAATTAACTAATCAGCTGTGAAATGAATTTTCAAATGTCATTTCAGTTGCCAAAAGGATGGTTAAATTTGAATTGATCATTCTGATGATTAAGAAGATCATTTTAATCAATTCAGAGAGTTTAACCATCCTTTTGGCAACTTAAATGACATTTAAAAATCCATTTTACAGCTGTTAGTTAATTGCTACGATGATCATTGTTTGAGAAATTGGGCTTTAGTGCACTAGCAATCCCAATTCCCATAACCAACTCTTCTTACCTAACCACCATTTTAATAGACAAATATTCTTACCTATTACTAATAGGGTGGAAAATGGTATGGTAATGGTAAGGGACACATTCAATTCATGTCAAGAGAGTTATTTACGCCGTTTGGAGAAGAAGATACCTGCATAACAGCTTTGATGAGGTTTTCCCAAATTATCAGCTCCTGCCAACCAGTACCAGTGAAGTTAAATATAGAGATACAGCCCGATAGAGAAGACCGCTGGATAGCCTACAATAGGGTAGATAAAAAAAAAACTTAATTTTGTTTGTTAGATAACAACCGCAGATTGGCAAAACGACCCTGAAAAGTCTCCAATTATCAATCTCCCGGTGATCAAGCCTGCCTCATCTCCAACCATCGTCCCCATTCGTGCAACAGTGAAACCTGGTGCGTGACCCTATCATAGTTGTGTACCTTGATTGTAAAATTATGTTAATGATTTAATAAGTCTCAATATAATTCTTGTACGTACTTACAACTCATACCTTGTTCCTACAGAAACAGGTAGAGCCAAGTGCGTCGCCTTGCAAAACTGTCACGCCTTAAAAATTTTTTTTACTTCCCTCTGGTCAGTGAACGGTGTTGTGAGAGAAAAAAAATAATAATTATCATGATCATAGTTCCATTTTCAATGCCGTAGATCCGTAGAGCAACCTGCACTATTGGAAGAATAGGCAGGCTGATTTGCAGACCGAACCGAAACAATGTATATCTATGGACATCGAACAACGAAGAAAAAAACTTAACTATACGTTAATAACGCTATAACTTTTTATTTAACTAAAAATTTGCACGTATTTTAAGTACCTAATACTACAGAGAGAAACCAATAAATAACTGAAATAATGCCATCTATCGCACATTAGGTTTATCACGACATGTTACCTAATTCATTAACAAGAAAATAATTTAGTTACATAAATACTCATTAGATGGCATTTTATTAAGTTGTCTGTTAATAGAAAATTCCGCCTTTTTAAATTCTTGCTAAACAAAAAGCACACAATTGTTTTAAATCTACTTGTTTTTTTATAAAAACTTTTAAGTAAATTCAATTGAAAATAACTTATATAAGCGAAAGCTATGTGATATTAACTCAAAACCATAATGCGATTATGTATCCGACCTTGATTATGTATCCAAAGAAGTAAACCCATAATACATTATTGCACTTTAGATTACGTATTCGCGGCAGGAGTTAGTCTCGGTGCATCACTCCAGCTAGATCATTTGTTATCTTGATTGGCTGTCTAGACGTCTGGTAAAAATAAGATAAATCTATTATGAGTCAAAATAAAATTTCTGCATACAGAAACAACGGTATATTTTAGTTACAGAAAGAACAATTTCTTTTTATTTAGATTATCACCTGCATCACATATACATGAGTGGTAACCCTAGACGAATTTAAAAGAGGACGGTAATTGATGATCAATTAATATTGATTGGTACTCAATTTTTGTAGAGCAGGAGCCATTTTATGAATTCCTAACAATAACCTCTCTAATTCTCCTAATGACCTCGATAACCTAATTTCTCCTCCTTAGGTCTAGTTAAAATGAAGCAAGCGAGGTTGATTCCATAAAGCATATACCTAAACATACGCAGTGATTTGAATTCATCAAACAAGTTATTATTCATCAAACAAGTTATTATCAGGTATATTTAAAATATACAATATGAAAGAAAACTAGTGAAGAAATCTTTGCCAATACAATTATGTACATTTTTACTTCCATGTTAAGACATTTGATTTGTTACTCTTCATAAAACATTGATAGCATATTTGATTAAAATTAGGATTTATTTAACTAATTAAATTCTTAGATTGATGACTCGGTAGCTGCTTGTTTGGGGAATGGATGCCAATGGCATTGACATCGCCTCTGGGGTCGTGAGTTCAATTTACGGGACAAGTATTTAAGTTACGCACAGATAATGTTTCCGGATCTGAGTGTTTGTTCCCGTCTGTTTTCGTTATTTAATTATTAATTTATGACTACAAAAGCAGGCAAATAGCAGTTTCTGCCGTTGCACGAATGGCCATGCTTATCCGGTGAAGTACGATGGCCTCACAAAAGATCGAAGTGAAGAGAAAGTTTATAGTTTTCCGTTGCGTCTGGTGAGTCATCGAGTGCCACAGATTTGCCAACGGATGAGGAACCCATTAGTGATTTAGGTGGCCATGTGCGCTAAACACTTAATGACCTATAAATAACAAGTCCATTTTTTTATTAACGAAAAACAAAACCGACTTCAAATATTTCGCTCTGTACTCACTTTATATATATTTTCAGGAGTCCAACATTCAATACCAAAGAAACTGGTATTAGATCTTGGAATGGTATTGAATATGGGACCACATGGGAATCCCCAGCTTTCATATAAAATATGAATCATAAAAATCGGTTCACTGAATCGAAAGTAATGAGGTAACAACGAATTGAGAACCTCCTCATTTTTTAAGTCTGTTGACAATTAGTAAAGCGCCATACATTGAAGACGAACGAATCAAAGTCGTTCAAATGTAATAGACGTAAGCGTCAGCGGTAGTTTGTAACATTTATCATCACTACATAAGCGGAGATCTAACGTGATTCCTTGGAAAGGTTAATACATAGTGTCAGTTCGTAATAAAAACACGACACGTATAAAACAAGCAAAATTGCAAAATAACTACAAATGCTGAAAGGAATGCTATCTTGAGTCTTTATTAAATAGTGTTTCTGTGGTAACAGAATCTGCCATCGCAGACTCAGCTGGCTTCTTATAACCACGAACAATAGACAATGAAGCGATACGGACAGGCTCAGTGTAAACTGCGGGCCTTACACCGATGCACACCTATGTATATACAAATAATTATAATTATGTGGACGCAAGACCTCTTATAATCGATTGGAACATACGAGCCTCAAAGAATAATAGATCGGTTAATAAAAAATTACCAAATAAAAAAATGGGGCCGCGTTGTGGACTATGCCCTGATACCCTCTGTACAGAGGAGGCCTTTGCCCGGTAGTGGGATATGTATAGGCTGATACTTTACTTTTATTGTATAAATACTTTCGGAACATTTATGAATGTCGGAACCGAAAGGAGTAGATTTTTTTGTGAAATTATTTTGTAACACAGCGTCGATGTACTCTCACGTGCTCATTATTTACGCAGAGACCCTTATCTAAGTTCTTCAGTATGGACCTTTTAATTGACTCGATAATTTATCTCACCACCTATTCAATACTTTGAATTTAAAATGCATTTTACATGATACTATGCCACTCTTCGCTTTCTTCTTTTGTGATGCATTCAGCATCATTTTTGAAATACCTCTTTGTGGATCCCGTATCAACATTGTGCATGAATTTTGCAACTCTAGCAAGACGATTTTTCTCGATCCCCGTTATGAGAATCCTATAAGTTTCGCTACCATATTAATTCAATAATTCTACATATTAGGTAATTAATAAGCTTTAAATTAACACTTAAACAAGTGACAAAAGTCCTATTCAGCAATACGAACAGTTGAGATTACCGTCCGAGAACGTAGTTGAAACGGAAGTCTTCGCAACATCGTAATTTTCCCGATC